CAAGAGATATTAAGGAAAATCAGGCATGACTAAAGGTTTTTTGGCCTGAATTATGGACTGGCCGTTAAACAAGATGGGGGAACACCATAAGGACAGGTGTGATAGTATGGTCAAGTGGTATCCAGGGAGGAGGTGAGGGTGTCTTTGGCTGTGTTGAATTTAAGGTGTTTGATGTGTTGAATTTGAGGTATTAGACATGCAAAGGAGACTCTCGGATGGCAGTTGGATATATAAAACTGGAGTTTAGGGGAAAGGTCTGGTCCAGAGTTAGAAATTTGGTGCTCAAAAGAATATAGATAGTTTGAAAAGTCATGTTATAACCAGATGATATCACTAAGGATCTAATGTACTTAATAGAGAGGAGAAAGGCTGAAGGGATGTATCTGGGAATATTCCAATATTAAAAGACCAAAGAGACAAATAGGAACCATAAAAATCAAGCTATGGTAAGAAAACCAGGTTAATGTGGTATCCTGGTGATCAAATGAAAGAGAAAGGAGCCACAACTGTCAGTGCACACACAGGACAAATGTACATGTAGATCAAATGGTCAGATAGGACAGGGACTGAGAAATACTGAACAGATTTAACAGCAGTACAGACCTACTGAATCAAAATAGTAGGACAAAAAGTACGGATGTCTCAGTCTCATCTTTGGAGATTCATATCTAATTGGTCTGGGGTGTATCCAGATCCCTGGGGTTTTAAGGACCCCTAGATGCTTCTAATGAGGTTAAGATCCACTGTCACCTCCTCTTTCTTTTTGTTGTAAAATGGTCTTATTGTCAGAAACAGATGTTGCTGACTGATTAAACACAGGAGCTTTTATCTATAGGCTTGTTTCTGGATACTTAGGATCTGAAAATGAGAGGCATATCTGAAGGCTGATTATTAACCACTAAAGGGGTTTGCTATTTAGCACCTGTCTCAAAATGGCTTTTAAGCTGAAAATCTCTTTGCTTTTCATTTTTTTCCAGGTGCTTGATTTTTTTTTTTGTTTTGTGTATATTCAAAAGACGTTTTGTTTTAACAAGGGTAAGTTTCAAGTTAATAAAACCTTGAAGGCAAATCTATTGATGCAACTGGTTAAAAAAAAAACAAAAAAAACCAAAAACCACCCTGAATTTCAATCAATAATTGAGCATTTAGGTGAGTTAAGGACTTTATTTGCAAAATTCTGCATATCTCACACCTTAGAAGTTGGCTAGTAATAGGTGTAGAAATTTTGTACCTCATGAAAGTTTTAATCTCTTTCATATTTTTGACATAGACATTAGTAGTTATTTAAATGCTTTAGTAAATTTGAGTGGGTTGAAATCTTTTAGCACTTTACAAATTAAAGAATATCTTTGTAGGCTGAGACATGTTTTGCAGGCCGGTTAAATTAGATTCTATGTGGCAAAGAGGAAAACCAAATATATTAAAACAGAACCAAGGTAGAAAATGGAAAAAAACAGAATGGAAATACAGGATTAATTATTACAGGCTTCCAGAAGAATGCCAATTGTCTAAATTAGCCCTTTTCAACCTGGGTTGAGTTCCAGCAAGAGAATTAAACCCTAATGCCCTATGGCATCCATTGTATGAAATGAACCAATTTCAGTGGTGTACAATGGGGATAGCCATGCACCATCTTTGGGAGAATGAATAAAATATCCATTCAAATAATGAAATAATTTTCTCTAAGGTTTAATTCTACTGTGGACTCCAAGGCTATTTATGTACTAATCTGTCTTCTTAGATGATGCAGTAGATTTTGAGCTTCCTGAGGTATATGACCTTAGGAAAGAAAGCATGAAAGTCTGTTCTAAAATTACCAAGAAATTAAGAAGGATAATTTCTTTATTGATATACTAAAATAAAGCTGGGCATGGTGGTTCACGCCTGTAATCCCAGAATTTGGGAGGCTGAACGAGGTGGCTCACCAGGAGGTTGAGGTCAGCTTGGGGTACATAGTGAGTTTCAGGCAAGCTTGGGCTACAGAGTGACCCTGTCTCAACAAAAATGAAAAAGATTCACTAGAATAGTTATTAGCACAGCATAAACAGCACCATCTTATATAAAACCCAGCAGGCATATTCTAAAGTGTTCTAGGTTTTTGTCCATGTACATGAACATATGTTAATAGTGTTTTTTTTTCAAACAACAGGATCATGCTTTTCACTAGTTTTCCCATGCAATATTATGGCTATTCTATGCAGTCATTTATGGATCTGCTGCTTTTTAAGGGCTACATAGTATTACATAGCAGATTGCTATACACTACATATGGTAATTTCTTATGTTAATGGACATTTGCATCATCTCCAATTTTTTGCTATTGTAAACAGTGCTGTAACAAACATCATGTTTGAAAAATTCTTGAAAAATTGTATGTTGGGCTGGAGAGATGGCTCAGCAGTTAAGAGTACTGACTGCTCTTGCAGAGGACCCGGGTTTGATTCCCAGCACCCACCTTCTTCTGACCTCTGCGGCATTGCATGACAGGGGTGCACTCACATACATAATATACTCATACACATAAAATAAAAATAATAAAATATTTTTAAAAAAAGAAAAATTGTAGCCGGGTATGGTGCCTCACGCCTTTAATCCCAGCACTCAGGAGGCAGAGGCAGGTGGATATCTGTGAGTCAAGGCCAGCCTGGTCTACATAGTGAGTTCCCAGATAGCTGGGGCTACAGGGAGACCCTGTCTCAAAAAGACCAAAAAAAAAAAAAAAGAAAGAAAGAAAAATTGTATGTTACAAATTCTAGAAGTGGAAGTGAGGATTTACATTTTTATGTAAAATTTCAAAAAAGTTCAAAAGTACGGAACACTGTGATTGTAGGTAGGGCTCTGCATAAACATAGATCAATGGGGAAACAGTTGTAAGCCATTATGTGGTTTTGGGAACTGGACTCTGCTCCTCTGTAAGAAAAGCAAGCATCCTTAACCCATCCTTCCAGCCATGACAGACCAATAGGAAGTACAAAAATATAAGAAGATCCTGGCATACTGGCACTTGTCTGTACCAGCACTTGGGAGCAGAAGGAGCTCTTATGAATTTGAGTGAGCCTGGTCTACATAGTGAGTTCCAAGGCCTGCCATGGCTACATAGTGAGACCATGTCTCAAAAAGAGTGAGGGAAAAGAAATACAAAAAGATATTTATTATTAAAATTGGCTCATGTGGTTATAGAGGCTTAAAAGCCCCATGATAGGTTGTCTGCAAGATAGAGACTTGGAAAAAAAAAAAAAAAAAAGGAAAAGCAGTACTACACTTAAATCTGAATCTGATGACCTGAGAACTAGGGGTGCTACTGTTGTGATTCCTAGAGTATGAAAGCCAGGAACTAAGAACTTCAATGTCTGAGGGCAGAAAAGATGATGTACTAACAAAAGGGGAGGGAAGGAGGGAGATAGATTGAGATTAGGTGTCTCCTTCCTCAGCCTTTCTGGTCTACTTGATAGTTAGTCGGTCCACTGACTTGGATACTAATCTTACCCAGGCATGCTCAGAAATCATGTGTTTAACCAAGAGTCTGAGCATCCATTAGCCAAGTCAAGTGAATGCGTAGAACTAACCAACATGATAATGAATCCCCATGGACCCTTTATTCACTTAGATAATTATCGTATAGTCAATTTTGTTTCCCCTTTATCCCTACTCCCTTGTACTCCAATACTACATCTATAATGAATCAAAGACTTCTATTTTACCCATTGACATTTCAAAGTTAAGGATGCTTTTAGGAAACAATGATAACCATGGTAGCATTCCTAAATGTAATGCTTCACCCATGTCAGTGTTCTTGTTTTCCAGTTGTTTTACTGACTTTTTTTAACAGTGGGTTTGCCTGTAATCAAGACATAGTTTATACATTGCATTTGAATGACATGACTCTTTTTTCTTTTTAAAAATTAAACATAATTATGTGAATGAGTGTTCTGCCTGCATGCATATAGATGCACCATGTGCATGAAATGCCTTCAGAGGCCAGAAAAGGACATGAAACCCCTTGGAACTGGAGTTATGAACAGTTGTTAGCTGCCATGTGGGTGCTGGGAATGGAACTCAGGTCCCCTGGAAGAGTAACCAGTGCTCCTAACTGCTGAACCATCTCACCAGCCCTACATGACCCTTTTAAAAATTTTTTATTTTTGAGAATTTCATACATACTCATTTCGCATTACTTCCATTGCTTCTGGTCCCCCTCCAACTCCTCCCATGTCCCCCTGACTCACTCTCATTTTCTTATTCTTTTTTATTATTATGCGTTCATACATACATTTGTAAATATGCATATATGTATAATGCAGTCAGTCCATTTAGTGGTGCTCATGTGTACTGGTGTTCAGGGCTGCCCACTTGGGATTAGATAACCTCTCAGGGAGCTAGTCCCTGGAGAAAACTGACCCTCCCTCCCTCAGCATCCAGTGATTGCCTATAGCTCTTCATCTTGAGGTACAACCCCATGAAATTTCTACCATCCACCTTGGCATATCAACCGCTTTTGAATGACGTGATTCTTGTCTTTTATTATATTACTTTCTCCTTTTACTTTTTTTCTTCTGATTCATTTGTTAAAAATCCAAAAAGGCATTAACTGTACTTTAATATGAGATTTTCTGACACAGATTTTTAAATTACTTGTTTTTATTTTGTGTGTATGAATGTTTTGTCTGCATGTGTGTAAGTGCACTCATGTCATATATTGCCCACAGAGGCCAGAAGAGGGCACTGGAATCCCTGGAACTGGAGTTATGAAATGTTAGCTGCCATGGGAGTGCTGGGAACCAAATCTGGGCCCTCTGCAAGAGCAGCCACTGCTCTTAACCACTGAACCATATCTCTAGCCCCTGATACAGATCTTAAACAGTTGCTGCATTGGAAAAAGAAAAGGGAAATATTGCTTAGAATATTTTTTCCTCACAGCCAGTTGTTGAGCAGAACAAATGCATATACGTGTTCTCAGTTTTGATTTAGATATTTATGATCTCATAATATGTATCTTTCAGGAGAAACAGCACTGGCGACCGTGAGAAGGCTCTTCAGGTCATGCTCCAAGTTCTGCAGAGCTGTGACCACCCAGCCCCTGACATGTTTTGCCTGTGTGGAAGGATCTACAAGGATCTCTTCCTAGATTCAGACTGTGAAGATGATGCAAGCCGAGACAGTGCCATTGAATGGTAAATAGCACGTGCAGCTCTGTGTAGAGCTGAACAACATAGGCTGAGCAGCCAGGTCTGTTCCCTAGTGTATGTGTTTGCCTGTGATAAACCCACTGCAATAAATGTGGTATAGGAATTTTTAGAATCCCCGTTCAGAGAGAAAGCCAGCTACCCTTTCCAGAATCTTGTCCACCACCATTGGACAACATTTTCTCCGTGAGCTGTTCATGCCTGCCTGTCTTCATCCAACAAATGTTTATTAAGGACTTAATTTGTACTAGAGACATTTTTAGATGGGCAGTGAAGACACAGAAGACATGAATTCTTTTTTCACATTTATTTTTATGTATATGAGTGTTTTGTCTGCATTGATATAAGTATACCACATACATCCTATGCCAACAGAGACCAGGAGAGGGCATTGGATTCCCTGGAGCTAGAATTAGGGAAGGTTGTTAGCTGCCATATGGGTTCTGGGAACTAAACCCAGATCCTCTGGAAGAGCAGCCAGTGCTTTGAACCACTGAGCCATCTGTCCAGCCTTGAAACATGACTTGTCCTTATTGACCTTGCCTTGATGGTAAAGAAAATCAGCAAACAAAGTAAGATGTATAGGATGTCAGCTGATGGTGAGAGAGATGAGGAGAAGTAAAGGAGAGAGGGAGGAGTAAAGGAAGACCTTAAGAGTGGTCTGCAATTTTAATTTATTTTGTCATATTTTTTGACGTGCTAGGGATCAAACCCAGGACTTGGTGCATACTAGGCAAGTGCTCTCTTGCAGGACTATATCTCCAGCCTCTAGTTTATAATTTTAAATAGGGTAATTAGTGAAGGGGATAAAGATATGAAGGTAGTGAGGGGGTGGGTTTCACAGATAACTATGGAGAAAGTGTTTCAGGCAGAGGGAAGAGCAAGGCCCAAGATATCAGGGAGGTAGCATGCCAGACACACTTAGTGATGGTGAGGAATAGGCAGAAGAAGAGCAATGTGAAATGAGGTGGGAAGATGATCCTCTAAGTCAGAAGGGACATCAGTGGAGAATTCTGAGCAAAGACTGATGAGACTTGACATGCAGTTTTAATAGGAGTAGTCTCTCTGTTAAGCAAAGAATATATTTTAAGGCATGTCCTGCTGTGGTATAGTACATATCAACTTTAAATTAGTGACTTCAAATAGCAGCCCTTTATGATTTCTTGTGATTCTGTGGGATTTCCAGGAAGTTCATCTGTTGGCCTCACTCTTAAAGTTATTGTCAGCTACAGGGCAGAGGACCCAGGATTGATTCCCAGCACACACATATGGCAGCTAACAACTGCCTGTAACTCCAGTTCTTGGGGAATCTGACACCCTCCTCTGATCTCCACAGGTATTGCACTACATGGGCGCATTTACAAACAACACACACACACACACACACACACACACACACGTATTTTCGGGTGTGGTAGTGCATACCTTTAATCCCAGCACTCGGGGCAGAGGCAGGTGGATCTCTGTGAGTTCAAGACCAACCTGGTCTACATAGTGAGTTCTAGGCCAGTTGGAGCTACAGGGAGACCCTGTCTCAAAAAGACTCTACCCCCCAAACAAAAAAAACACCACACACACACACACACACACACACACACACGTATTTTCGGGTGTGGTAGTGCATACCTTTAATCCCAGCACTCGGGGCAGAGGCAGGTGGATCTCTGTGAGTTCAAGACCAACCTGGTCTACATAGTGAGTTCTAGGCCAGTTGGAGCTACAGGGAGACCCTGTCTCAAAAAGACTCTACCCCCCAAACAAAAAA